ATATATCTATATATATATATATATAATCTTAGGGGTGTGCACGGTGCGCTTTGGTGCGGTTTAGAGTCAAAACCGCAAACCGCACCGCATACGAGGTTTGATATTTTTGGAAACCACAAACCGCACCGCAAAAGCTCTAAACCGCATTACGTGGTGCGGTTTGGTGCGGGCGGTTTATGCGGTTTAGATGCGGTTTGTGCAGTTTGACGAGTCGAAGGTTAATCGTTAAATTAATGTATGTATATATATATATATATATATATATATATATATATATATATATATATATTAATGTAATTTTGTTTGTCAATTTACACATTTGGTTGCTTTGATTGTGTCTTTGCCTATGAAATTTAGTCTATGTTTATTGTGATATTATCACCTACATGCATCAAAAGACAATTATTAAAAGACAACTATCATACATGAAAAAATTAAAACAATAAAAACAGATGCCGAAACTTTTTGAAAAACAACTAAAACAATAATAGATTAAGTAAATGGTATAAAAATCGACTATAGTTGAAATCTTAACTAGTATTTGATAGTTTGTATTGGATTTACTATATAGCAATGTTTATTGTTTACCATAAAATGGTTATACATATAATTAATTAACTAATATGTAAGATGCGGTGCGGTGCGGTTTCAACCGCGGTTTTGTAACTATAAACCGCAAACCACACCGCATAGTGCGGTTTACAAATAATACAAACCGCAAACCGCACCGCGAACGTTCAAAACCGCATTATGCGGTGCGGTGTGGTGCGATGCGGGCGGTTTATGCGGTTTGTACGGTTTTTTTCACACCCCTAATATATATATATAGATATATATATATATATATATATATATATATATATATATATATATATATATATATATATAGATCCGATAAGAAATTTTTTTTGGTAGGAAGGTAAGAAGTTTTTTTTTCTACATATTTTTTTCGCGAACAAACAAAATGAATCATTAGATGATTCATTTGTAAGATGATTCACAAAAAAAATTTCCAAAAAAACATATTTATGATTCATTTTTAAGTAAATTAAGAAAAAATTCACTTTTATGGCAATTTTAGTGAATAACAACAAAATCATTGTATAAATGAATAATCGAGATGTTTTTTTGAGAATTTTTTCTTGTGAATCATCTTACAAATGAATCATCTAATGATTCATTTTGTTTGTTCGCGAAAAAAATATGTAGAAAAAAAAACTTCTTACCTTCCTACCAAAAATTTCCTTCTTATTTGATCTTGACTCTATATATATATATATATATATATATATATATATATATATATATATATATATATATATATATAGAGAGAGAGAGAGAGAGAGAGAGAGAGAGCTAGGTTCATTTGTTTAAACTAATTATTGTGTTATTGTATGCATAAATGTGGGTCAATCAAAATTAAATAAAAAATTAAATAATTAAATAAATAAATAAGGGTAATAAAGTAATTTTATAAATAACTTCCACAAATACTTCCTAAAATTATGCTAGTTATTCTGACTTTGACCTAATTTCTTCTCATTCTTATATACACGGCCGTTCACTGTCAAAAACCCTATTCCACCATAAAAAAAACTTCCACCGATCCCCATCAATAAATGAATTCGATTTCTGAATCTGAATGTACCCATTCATCTTCAACCGCTCATTAGATCGAGCTAAGGGATCTGTCGATTTATTGGGGACAATCGACGGGATCTTCGTCGACAAATAAGCAGAAGCAGCTCGCGAGGTAAGGTGGCATCAATCTTCGATGATCTGCCCTAGGCCTTCTTGATCTCATCTCCGACCATGTTCCTCCAGGTCACCGTCGTCGCCAACCCTTGAACCACATCCACCGAGTTCCTCCGTCAACCCTTACATCCATGGTTTTTGTCGTCGTACTGGCGCGTCTTCTCAATCGCCGCCCCAACGTTGCACATTTCATCCGTACGTACTCTGTTCTCTCTTCTCGATCATCTCTATTTTCTGCTATGTCGATATCAGTTCTCGGTTTGCTGTTAAGTGATGTTTCTTTTGATGCTTGTTGTTGAATGGTGGGTTTATGTTTCTCTTAGACGTGGTTCAAACATAAGTTGTTTGATAATCTAGGGGGAATATGAGATGCTCAAATTGCTTAAAATTGGGGGCTAATTTAATTTTTTCGGGTATAACAACTCATTTACATTCTGATTATGTTGTATGGGAAAGAATGAAACAATGCTTCGCTGAAGGTTTTGTGAGATGCTCATATTGCAGTTTTATTTCTTCATTCTAACATCAGTTTAAGATGGAAGGGTAAAATAGTCAGATTCAGTTTAAGATGGAAGGTTTTGTGAGATGCTCAAATTGCAGTTTTACATTCTGATATGGAATTGACTGGCTTCACTTGTGGTAATAGTGTGATGAAGATACAAAAGAGGAAGAAGGCGAGGGCAAAGGAGGTCTCGGTGTGGATGAAGGTTTTCATTAGACCTAGTGGATGCATGGACGAGGTGTGGGGTCAGCCGCCTCAATGGAGCCATCGACCGTAGGTGGGCTGCTTGTTTCCAGCAGAATGCATACCGTAACTGAATCTTGAATTCCAATTCTATCAGAATGGAATCACGAATTCCATTTCTGTTGGAAGGGAATATTGATATTTTCTCACAGAAGCAGCTGATGCTTGAAGAATGGACCATGAAATTGATGTTAATTTTAGCAACATTAGTCTTTTAGAATGTATTAGTGTCTTTGTTAGATTTTGATGTTTTTTTTTCCGATTTGAAAGTTTTTTTAGTTTTATTCTTTAACAATAAATGTAATTCTTAGCAATTGTTACCCGTATTCTATAAGAATTAATGTAATGTTTGTTTTTATTATTCAATTGATGGTTCAAGAATTTATTATTCTCCAAGAAGTTTTTAAAATTATGATCAAGAAATAGGTTCAAAAATATTTCTATTATTTTATGGTTCAAGAATATTTTTATTTTTGATAAATATATTCTGTCAGAATATCCGAAAATTATCATCACTACAATCAGATTTTTAAAAGTAATAGAATTTATTATCCCTTAAAATATGCAATTTTCCTTTTTTTAAATTTATGTTAATTGACTAAAATACCCTTAAAATGGAATTAGATGGTATTTTCTAATTATCTTTAATTTAATAATATGTATTATTCACTTTCTTAAAATAAGTGAAATTGATTGGCCCATATTTATGCATACAATAACACAATAATTACTTTGAATAGAATAACCTAGGCGTATATATATATATATATATATATATATATATATATATATATATACACACACACACATTGACATGAGACTTAGGTTTTTTCTTGTAGTATTTTGTGTATTACATGAAAATCTGAATGCAATTTTATATTTAAAAACTATAAAGTTAAATAGCAATGTATTAGCGACGACCATTTGTCCGAAATTAATCTGTCACTCAACCCAACCTACACTCGTACTAACTATTTCATATCCAATTTGTCTCAAAATATTTTCATCACTAACCAACCTTCGTCAATCCGTAGCAAATATGTTGTTACGGTTATTTAAACTTTGGCTTCGTTGTTCGTGGAAAAAAATGTTATGTATTATCAACGGAACAGAGTGCTTGCATTGTTGACTCGGAAGTGTCCGTTGATATTAGCTACCACAGCATACATGAAAACTTGTTGCCTATCGTTATTTTGTTCCAATTGGCTTCACCCACGTATTAGCGACGAATTTTCATGTGTGAAAGTCTATTTTATTGTAGTGATATATAGCAACGTCGGGTGGAGGTATTTACCTTTTCTATATTATCAATAATTCATGAGTTCAATAACAAATCCTAGGTTATAAACATTCTTTTAGATCTTTGAACTTGCCCATCCATAACACGATCGAGAGCATTTTCAAGATTTATTGAGGGATTGTCCGAAGACAAAGAATGTTGCAGATTCTTTCCTTAGACGGTGGCAAGCTACGGTTTTACCCATCCATAACACGATCGAGAGCCTGTTCCAGATTTCACCAAGTACCATTGTTGATTCGAACAGATGTAACATCATAAACGTTATCACTCTTTTCAGAATATGGGTGATTTGGAGCTACCGAAATGACGTTTTTACAAATAAGGTCAAGAGCACTCATTATTGCAATTGTGAGGTGCAATTTTTAGCTTTCTTTTGGTTGAAAAATAGGGCCATGAGATGTGATAGTTTATGTTGGTCTACATGGTGTAATGGCCCTACAGCTTGCTAACTTTTCATTTTATTGAATTTTTTTGTTTGTTGTTCAAAAATAAAAATAAATAAATATGTGAACTTGCATATCAATAAGTATATTGTAACAAGCTGATTCTATATCAGTGTGTTGTAACCAGTTGATTTTATATATATCGCCACCCAAAGTGTGGAGAGAAGGTAAACATCTCACTTTAAAAAGTGGACATGCAATTTATGTAGATCTTTACACATTTAATTCGATAAACTAACTATTCTACAGATTTCTCTTCTACTTACGTACGTTTATGTGTCGTCTGTTTAGTTATTATTTCTACATATTTATACACATGAATGTTTTTTTTTTTTGTATTTCTGCAAATTATCAGGTGATTTTTTTTCGCGCACTATACAATTATAAACTATGTTCACCTATTCAAAGTATTACTTTTACGTTTTTGAATTGACCATCGAGAAATCACAAACTTGTTTTGGTTTTAGATTCATATTTATAACCAAAAAGGTACAAATACGGAAATGTGTCTGTAGATCTCTTGACTTTAGAATACTCGATATCGACATAACATGTAACCATATTTTGGTTGCGGTATTCTTGCAATAAAGTTTAATAGTTGTAGTTGAGAAAGAGAATGAAAGATAGTTAGGAACTGAATTGATTGGAGAAATAGAAAGTAAAGACCGAAATAAAACAAGAGAGGGGTTAGTGTATACTTATATACGTAATTCTCTCTATATATGATCCCATAAAAACAGCTGAGAGACAGTGTCGTGCAAAACCAACAAAAGTGACTTCCCATCCACAACCCTAAACCAACCTACTTTATTTTCATCTTAACACTTCTCTTTTTTCCTCTTATAAAATCCTCATCTACATCTTCTTCAGTTTGCGTAAATATTGTTCATGGTGATTATTAAAAACCAGTAAAACTACCACTTCAATCCTTATTAGAGCTCAATTACAGTTTTTATCTTTTATCGAAGATTTTAGTTATTAATTTATGGAGGAAACTGGGGGTGGTGGCTGTAGCGATGATGCAAGGACGTGTCCTAGAGGACACTGGAGACCAGCCGAAGATGAAAAACTCCGGCAGCTTGTTGAACGGTATGGTCCACAGAACTGGAACTCGATTGCTGAGAAGCTTCAAGGACGATCAGGTGTTGTATAGATATATGTTTGTGGGAACATCTTCTTATTCTTCTTTCTTTATTTGTTTATCAATCAAAGAAGATCGGATATATATGTGATTGATTTCCAGGGAACTTCTGATCGATCAGCGGATTATGTTATTTCATTTTCAACAATTTATTTATAAATTAATTTTACAAGAATTGTAATTTTCTTGGGAGGGGATAGAAAGGTATTTTGGTAATAAAAATGAGTGTCTTTAATTAGTTAAAATTTGTTTTACTTTTAAGGTATTGATATTCACAAGGCATGATTTTTTTTGCATAGTTTTTTCAAAACCTAATTTATTTTTATCATTTCTATACTAGGTTATATATTTTAAAGAAGAGATGATCTATTTTATCGATTTCTTATCTGAATTCGCTTATGCAAAACTGATTCAATCCTTTCCCAAAGTACACGTATAAAATAGATGACCCATGATCAATCCACTAGAAATGGTCGTCTTCATACGAATTTTTTCTTATGACTACTATACAAACAAATTTTTATTTATCTAAATTAAAAAAAAAAAAAAAAACAAAACAAAACAAGGGTTATATATATTCTGAACCGGATGAATATTACTATCAGTAACAATGTTTTCATTCAAGAGTAAATAAAGGAATCACCAATCATATATGCCAATTCATTTGTATACTTATCATGTCTGATTTTGAAATTAATCAATTTCATCTATATATTGGTGTTGTGTAGGAAAGAGTTGCAGACTAAGGTGGTTCAATCAACTTGACCCCAGAATTAACAGAAGGCCATTTACAGAAGAAGAAGAAGAAAGGCTTTTGGCAGCTCATCGTGTACATGGAAACCGATGGGCTCTCATATCAAGGTTATTTCCTGGGAGAACTGATAATGCTGTCAAGAATCATTGGCATGTTATCATGGCAAGAAAGCAAAGGGAAAAATCGAAAATTTGCGAAAAGGAAGGGTGCCACGATGATTTACATAGTCGTAATCTAAATACTACTGAGAAAGGAGTACATCAAAGAGACGCAAACTCGACAAAGTATTCTGCTTCGATCTCTTTCTCTACTAGCTATAGTCAGTTTAAGCAATTCCAGAATTTAAACAAAGAGAGGAATTCTTCATGGAGTTTTACGAGTCCTACGTCCACCATGATAGCCACCCATAATAGATCTTTGTCTTCAATAGATTTAAGTTTAACTGCACGACGAGAGGATACAGATTTTTGCAGTTCTAGATTACATCATCATAGCTTATCAGACCAGCATACTGCTTTCCAAAACTATTTATCATGTTCTAATGGAGGCCATAGGGACACTCGTGCATACGGGCAGCAATGTCACCATAGGGTTATATTTTCGAGTCCCTTTCAAAGCACTACTCATGATGCTGTGCTTAAGAGGGAGTTATTGGTAAGTTCCAAGAACAACATGCAGACACAGGTTAAGGCGATAACGACTTTGGAGAAACATAAAGAAGAAGACGAAACAACCGAATACAAGGATGATCATGTACCCTTCATAGATTTTCTTGGCGTGGGTATTTCGTCTTGATTATCAACATTTTTATAATTAATATATAGGGTTTCTTGTATATGTGCACCATATATATCTATATGTGTGTATATATAAATATATGGTTAGAACTTTCTTTTAACTTAATTGATGGTTTTCATTTCTATATATATCTTTGCTTTAATTACACTGCGCAGACTAAACTAATCTAAAAAGATCTTTCACCATAGCATGATCACAGTATGGTCCCTGGTAAGAAATCCCACAAAAATGAGTTATATATCGGATCTCCTTTCTTCATGATTGAGTGGTCAACAAGCCGATATATTAATGTTTCATAAATCATCGCTAATATGATTTTCCGAACAGTCCATTTATAGGTTCCTACCATACACTATTATTTGGATATCTCATATCATTATACCTAGATAGGTAGCTAGTTAGAATGTAACTGCCTTGAAGAGGACATCACTCTGAAAAATGTCAGTGGTACTTATTGTTTATTAAGGAAAATAAACTGTCATTGGCATGATGCTGAAAGTTGAACAGAACATGCTTTTATGAGATACATGGGAGTTCAATGCGCAAGTCAATAGGTTTAAACTAACCTTGAAAACCAACTAATTATGTTATCAATTATTTATTATTTATTTCGTAAGTAATCTCATCTAGCCTCTTGAAGTTTGATCTTTTTGCCGAAAGCTTTCTGATAGAAAGGCTCGTGAAACTGAACTTGAAGGGTAAAACGTCGGCCGTCCATTCATTGACACTTTCGCTGGATATGCGAAGAGCTGGATTTAATGAGCTCTAGATTACTATAAGCAAATGATGAGAAAGCATGACATCTGACCACTTTTTACCAATTTACCTAAGCAAATGAGTAGTAAATTTGTATCTCACTGCATCATCAAAATGGTATTTTGAACAAGTCTTACTCTTCTTTTATGGACAACTTTATTCATACCATTTTCATTCATATTTTACATGTGTTGATATATACTCACATGAGTAAATTACACAAATGTTCTATTTGGTTTGGGTAGTTAGCGTGTTTGCTTTCTAACTTTTTTTTTTAAAATCAAATGGTCTCTATGGTTTGGTTTTGTTTCAGTTGTAGTCCATACCAGACCTCTAATGAATGTTATACCCTTGTATTTTGTTTTTAACATTTCATTTAACATTTTTTAATATTATCATAATTATAAATCAAAATTAGGCCCACACTCACCCAACCCACCCCTTTCTCTCTCTAACTTACAACCTCAGATTAGCGAATTTCGAACCTAAATTATTGGCGTTAATCCAAACTGAGTCAAAATCACGTGATTGTCTTAGGGGTAGTTTATTCATTTTGTTTCTTTTAATTGATCAGGTCAAAACCATGTTGGTCGTAGGTTGCACGAGTTTAGGAGTTTTGTTACTTTCCCCTGTTTTCTTGGCTAGTTCTCCTTTATATGCTAGGTTTAGGAGTCGATTCTTGTGTGTGTAATTTCCATTTTCAAGCAGAGAATAAGATGTGAAAGTTGCACCATCTTCTTGTACCTTTTCTTTTCTGTTCTCCTTCCAGCAGATCATGCAACAAAGTGTTGCTTTACTTTGTTTGTTATATTCTTCTTTATGTAGTGGGTTTGTTCACAAAGGCTGGTTCCAACACTTGGTATCAGAACTAACCAGGGTGGTTCTCGGCTGTTGTGTTTCAGTTATGTTGTTACATTAATGGTTCACAGTGGTGTTGACAGATGAAGGTCTGAATGTGGTAGTTCGATGCCGAAGATGGCAACATACAACTGTTGAGGAAGAAAACAAGCAAGTAGGGTGAGAGGGAGAAAGCAAGCAGCAAGAATGAATGCAATTAGAAAGGTTGGTCACGTATGTTGATCAGAAGAAAGAAGCAGGAGCAGAAGGTTGTTCTATGTTAGCAATAAAGAAAGAAGAAGAAAGCAACAAGAGTGATCACTTTTGATCGAGGAAGAAAGAAAAGTAGCAAGAAGTAGTAGACAAATCAGCAAGATATCAAGCAAGTAGTATGTAGCAAGTAGTAGACAAGAAAGAAAGCAAGAAAAAAAGCAAGCAAGAAGGGTTATCAAGACCGAAGGAGAGTGTTGTATCAAAAGACCGACACAACAATAGAAGATCGAAGACCGAAGGAGGTAAACAAGATCGGTGGTTTGCGTGAGAAAGAGATACTGTAACATCCATAAAATCATGAAAAATTTAAACTTTCAAAAACCAACCCAAAATCATAAATTGTTTACAACATAGTTTTCAAAACATGTTCTATATAAGAGTTTCCCAAAATCATAAGTCCAAAACATGAGGATGTGTACGGTGACGCCTCCACCTTCCCGCGATCCTCTGAAGTACCTGAAACATAACCAAAAACTGTAAGCCAGTGCTTAGTGAGTTCCCCCAAAGTACCAACACAACACATAATCATAATAACAACATCAAACATACAGCATGTATACAGAGCCTTCAGTCTGAGTGGAATGCCCCGCCGGCCTACAGTCTCTCTGGTACGCTCACAGGACCTTCAGCATGACTGGTACGCCTCACCGGCCTTCCGCCTATCTAGAACGTCCTTCGGGCCTTAGGCCTGACCGATACGCCCCTCGGCTTGCAGTCCATCTGGGACGTCTTGAGTCTCTCGACCTTCAGCGCACAACAGGACCGCCTCAACCCAACACACCATCACATATCAACATATACCATATAAAACCCTAGCTAGCATATACAGACAATCATAAAGATCTAACAGATCACTAAGCATAGCATCATCCTATATACCAGGATACAGATCTAACAGATCACTACATCATACAATCATGCGATAAACCAGGATAATAATCCAAAGGGACCGGCATTGGTGCCTTCGACCCCAAAAGTACAGTGAGGAGCACTCACCTTGTAAATCCGAATGGGTAGCAAAAAAAAGAATATTGCTCCACGAGTCAACTCTACATGCGACCTATACACATGGAGAGACCCAGACCTTAGGCTTCATAATAAAAAGACCCAAAATGCCCCTAAGGTCAAACTAGGTCAAAAGTCAACGGTCAACTAAAAAGTCAACCCAGCTGAGTACGTCCAGCGTACTCAGCTCCTACGCCCCGCGTACTCAGTCCTTGACCAAAAAAGGGCAGTTGACCAACTACGCCCAGTGTACGCCATCGTACGCCCAACGTACGCAGCGGCCATGCAAAACTCCCATTAAATGCTTAATCCAACAAGTCCAAATGTCCAAATCCATATCCAAGCCTAAAAAGGTGTTCCAAACCATAAAGTTTCCCACTTTATGGTTATGCATGCCTTAATAAGTCCAAAAACCAAAACCCTAGTTTGTCTTAACCACTTAAGACTTCTATAACTTGCATGCAAGCACCAAATGAGTCAAGATAGCATTTTTATGACTTAATGCACCACAAATCTTCTGAAAGGACAACTCTTTTGGTCTTAGAGTAGCTCATACTCATTAAGTCTAGGAAAAGGGACTAAAAACTCATAAAACTTCACATGGCAATATCTTAAGGAAATACAAGTCGATATCAAAACTTTATACCTTCTGAAGTTTCCCAAGGAAGCAAAGATCCCAGATCTTCAAGCTTGCTTCCACACCATGGATCCTCAATGTATCTTCTTTCTTCCTCCAACACACCAAGAACATACACACTCAATGGATTAGGGTTTGCAAAAACATCACAAGGGGAGTGGAGGCTGGAGATGTGAGGGAAATGAGCTTATAAGGATGGTTATATAGGGGCTCAACCCTAAAATTTAGGGTTTCCAAACCTAAAGAGTACGCCCCGCGTACGCTGATGTACGCCCAACATACTAGGGCGCGCCCTATTACGCTAAGCGTACGCACGTACGCATGGCGTACTCCCATTCCTCCCAAATTACAGTTTTGCCACTAGGGCTTCCAATGGACACTTCCTTCTACTTAGGGACCAAAACGCAATATAATAAGATTATAGGATTGAATTTAGAAATACCTGAACACCAGGATGTTATAGATACCGAGAGAAAGAAAGAAGTTTGGCAGGAATAGTTTGGATTAAGGGGGAGAATGTTGGTGGTAATGCAAATTGAGTCAAAAATAACGTGATTGTCTTAGGGGTAGTTTAGTCATTTTGTTTCTTTTAATTGGTCAGGTCAAAACCATGTTGGTTGTAAGTTGCACGAGTTTAGTATTCTTTGTTGCTTTCCCCATGTTTTTTTGGCTAGTTCTCCCTTTATATGCTAGGTTTAGGAGTCGATTCTTGTATGTGTAATTTCCATTTTCAAGTAGAGAATAAGATGTGATGCACCATCTTCTTGTACCTTTTCTTTTCTGTTCTCCGTCCAGTAGATCACGCAACAAAGTGCAGCTTTAATTTGTTTGTTATATTCTTCTTTCTGTAGTGGGTTTGTTCACAAAGGCTGGTTCCAACATAAACTACCATCCTATCTTGTGTTCTAAACTCATACACAAAATTCACTTAAAAACCCACTAGTAAACCTATTATTGCCACCCAAAGTAGAACAATTCATATCAATTTTGTCACTATAAATTTGGTTGTGAAATCGGACATAAAAGACGATGGAAGACGGGTGATCAACGTCTATGTTGCCATATGCAATCAATAAAACTTGATGTGGCCCGTCCCCTCCAACTAGGTGCAATCAATGAAAACCTATGTTAAATCAGACATGGAAATCGGCCAACTAAAGCCATTTAAAAGAAACCCTTGTCTTCTTCAATTTGTTGTTTGTTAGTAGTGGTGGTGGTGAGGATGCCCTCATAGCAGCTATAGAGTTTGAATCAAGCGATGAAGGGGCAAATCATGAGGGCTGTGGTGATGGAGGGCTTATGTTGTTTCAAAACCCTTGTGTTATAGCAGCAAAGATCAAGGGGTGTAACGACGACATCAATATGAAGGTTGTGTATGGAGGGTTGTTGGACTGAAGAGAATAACGGGAGATGTAAAGGGGGTAAACTTTAGGTTTGACAAGAAATAAAGAAAGAAGTGAAAGTTGTACGAAGGGTTGAGAATGATATGGTGTTTCCTGATGAGAGTAGTTGGTGATGGTGCTTTTCGGTAAGAGAGAG